GAGCAATGGAAAAGATAATTTATTAGTGGCTCAAAGCTAATGAGAATAATTAGCACTATGATGCTTTCTAAGCAAACACAGAATAACTGGTCCTTAAGGAGCACCAGAGCGGGGAGTGCTCTGGGCAGCACAGAGGACTTCCAGGGACAGGATCTTACAAACCAAGGACCAGTTCCAGCAGCTGCCTGGAAACACCCGGACATCCTCCTGGCTTTAATTATGGGCCAGCACTGGAGCTGTGATTCCCTAAATTTTGGGCTAACAGACCATCTTTTTCCTGGCCTCAAAACCAGCCACACCGGCTGATGAATACACAGAGTTTACAGTTCAGCTTAACTCCTCGGAAACCACAGTCTGCAAATTGCTGCCTTAGATACTGAGATTTTTTGTGACATTGCATCATACAGTGCCTGCCAAAACCTTGGCAAAAGCCGAGCCAGTTGAGGGTGCTTTGCAGGGAATATTTCAGCGGTGCTGGTCAGTCAGGCGTGCCAGGAGTCCTGGTTGCCAGCAGATAAAATGGCATTTGGAGTCATTTCCTTCATAGAAACACCCAGGTACTCTCCTTCCTTAATCGGTAAATAAAAGCAGGATGCACAGAGAAAGCACAGACAAAGCATAGCATCTTCTCACAACCAGCCAAAGAAAATAATGGGAGAAATTTTGGTTTCCAATCAGTTCCAGCACAGAGCAGTTATGTGCACAACCAGATTAGCCGAAGGGCTGCACACCCACCGTTCCAGCGCAGCCATGGAACGCTCAGGGATGCTGGGCTGCCAAAGGCAAAGGAAACGCCAGCGCTTGGCCCCGACGCTCAGCACCTGCTGATAAAAGCGAATTTCCCCCCCTCTCAGTTTTCAGCACTTCCCCCTGCAATCCCAGTGTACCATCACAGACCCAATCGCACTAAAGGAAGCCTATTAAATTAAAACGAGGTGCACGTGGACAACAGTCCCCACTCCGCTGAGAGTCGTTTCAAGCGAATGGCTTGTTTCATAGTTTGTAAAAGGCAGTTGGCAGGGGTTTAGTGTTATTCTAGGAAATCCGCATAGGCAACATTTCTTTCTCACAATATACCGCTACCAACAATATGGAGAGTGATTTTGCTTTCTATTTTTAAAAGGAAAACAAACTAACACCTGTAGGCTAAGTCACCAGGTCTTGGCTTTTCTTTTGAAAAGCAGTTAGCCTCTAAAATCAAAATCACCCATGAAGCAATTCCACCTGAAACGAGATTCTGCCTGAAGCATTCTCTTAGAGCTTACTCAGATGGGAGTTGCATCTGCTTTTTTTTACTCCCAAATTAAATACTGTAAGAGCATAAACCTTACTGCTGTAATCTTTATTCACCATTAATATCAACGCATCTTTGTGGATGACTATTGAGAGAATTTTAAGTCAGCAAGATTCAGGGACCTAATGTGGTCTGGGTGGGAGTTTAGAAAAATTCCCAAGGCTGTTTCACCCGACTGCAACAAGTGAGGAGGGGCCTGGGGGTCACTGGGCTGTCAGATCCAGAACGCAATTTTACAGGGGGAGGAGAGGAAACGGAGATTTGCTAGGTTGCTTTTCCTGATGCAGCCTGGCAAGCATGTCTCTTCCAGTCTCTCCTGGAGGACTTGCTTTGGTTTGAACAAATAAGGATGTAGTTATTGGGTCAGAGATACCTGGGTAACTCCTTCACAAGAGAAGCCACGCTGTCCTCTTGGGCTGAGGGGACTGCGGTATAAGCTTATGCTCATCTTGGGACTCCAGCCTGGGTCTCCCACATCCCAGAGTATTCACTCTCCTGGGATCTTGTCTGAGCTCCATTTTCCCTCCTTTTGGTGGAAACAAATCCAACATCTCAGGCTCTACCATTAGATGGGGAAACCATTTCCCACCCAGCAGCTCCCAGTCTGTCTGCACAGAACGCCTGGGCTGCTCCCTTCGTCTCGTGGTCCGACTACACAACCGGGCCCACGCAGACCCGTGGGCTATTTAGATCTCGTTTAAGCCAACGCTGAGGAACAAAGTGATACACAATTCTTGCTCAGCCTCTCTGCTGCGAACACGTTTTACCCTTCCTCAGCAAGATTTAATCTGCTTAGGGTTAAGTGTGTAGTGGATGTCCAAGACCTTTGAATTACACCTTAGAAGGGCTGAAAGACCAAACCTGTAATTGCAAGAGCAGAATCTCTGATTCACTGCAAACCATTTGTTACCAGCAATGAAGTTTCTTGCTGGTAAATGATTCATGCTTTGAAAGCCCAGATTACTCACTGTTAACCATGGCAGAAATTCCTACGTGGTTATGAATGCCTCGGCTGTACATCTACTACGATGGGCTGAAAGTCTGAATGTGTGATATGACCAACCATTTAATTGCACAAAATAAGAGCTCTTATGTATAAGATACTTTTCATTCACAGTTTGTAGGAAAAAAAATTCAACTTGACTGATGCAAATATAAACATAAACTGACTTCACTAGTGAATATAAACACCAACTTTTGCTTTACTGGAGGCAACAGAATTACAACAGTGTAACTGAAATCCAGACCTGCTCTACTAATTAAAAAGGCTTGGACGCAAAGCTCCGAGCTTGTGGTACACTCTAGTTCACAGTAACTAAGGCCTTTGTCAGCCGTTTGATGCAATCATTTATGGTGTTCAAAACTGTATTTTTCAAAAACCATTCAGCCTATAAAACAGATGAGTCATGACCCTGTAACAGAAGGTAAATTATTCTCAAATATTTTATATTTGTGCATTAACACATGATTAGCCAAGAAAAAATGAATGCCCAAGTCCAAGAAGTAACTGACAAAAGACTGAAGGGAAAAACAAGAATCCTTAATTTTAATTTTATTATGGTGTAACCAGCTGTAAGGAATTACTGGTCTGAAGCACAGTGTGCAATTGTCCTATCCTAAACATTTACTAAAGCCTATAATTCAGAATGATCCTGACAAGTGATGTCACCATTGGCAAGCTATGATTTTTTTTCCCTTTTTTTGGAAGAAGTCTAAATTTCTCAGCAATTAGCACAGAGGCATAGCCTATGCTCAGAAATGCTCGAGCATTTCTGGAGACTGTATTTCTTTAATGCCAGCTGCTTGGACTCCGAGATTAAAAAACCCTGCAAAAAATTCTGGACTGATCATACTTGATAGTTTGCTGGTAAACAAAATAATTCCTGTTTGAATACATATTGACACCATTTGATTTATTTCCTAAATGCAGGGCAGAATGCTTGCTACTAATGTGAGGATAGCTTGAAAGAAAGAATGGCCATGATCTTACACAAAAGTACTAAACACAACATGAAGTAATTATGCTAACAGAAAAGAAAAAATACCACGGTAAGAGACTTAATAAATTAAGCTACTTTCACACTAGGATATTATGTACTACCAGGCAGCTGATTTTTTTGAGTGAAGAGACTCATCAGGTGCCTAATAAGAGAAGATACTTGGCACAGCTCCATCCCCGTTCAAATTGATGTCATGGTTAACAAGCTGGCTACCATACAAGGCCAATCAGGCCACCGGTATTCCAG